AAAAAACGCGGGGGTTCCCCTTTTCCCGTTGGGTGGGGAGGAGGCTTAGGGACTCCAGAAATTTCCGGGGGGGGGGGGGGGAGGGAGGGAGGGAGAGAGAGAGAGAGAGGGAAAAGAGAGACAGACCAAGAGAGACAGAGAGACAAACCGCACACGCGCACGCAGAGAATCCGAGTTCAATACCAGGCACCAATTCCGTAATCTTCGAGTCATGGGCAAGAGAGCTTTCGGACTTTCAAAAGCCTCACCCCCAAAAGGTTGTGTTAATTACTTAACCAACCCGGTGATTTCCAACAGAATCAACACACGATCATTTCACATCCACACATCCGATCCCGGCGCCCCCCTTTCGATAAAGCCCGAAGATCGTGTGTAACACCCAAGCCCCCTGCCCACGACAAGTCCGCCATCGTGCGGGCGACGTCAACGTCCCGTCTGATGTGCATACCGTCGATGACACAAGATAACACATCTCTTAGATCAATGCTCGATTACTCCACGACGAAGAGGATGCATAAATGAAACGATACGTTTTCGGAAAGCTCTCGACCAGACGCTGCCGCTTTCGGCGCTGCCTGCCACTCTCTCTGCCGTGGAGACATCGATCGTATGAAAAGCAATCCACGGGTGGGGGTGGTATCTTATGTCATGTCACCCACGGTACACTGGGTCTATCATACGGTCATCACCATCACCTGATCGGGGTCGACCTTGGGCATGGTCACCACAAGGCTTCCCGTTGTCTTGCTACGTCTAGCCTTAGCCTCTCCCGCCTTCACTTCCGCCTGAAGGCTCAGGCGCAGCACCTGTACGATATCAGGGGACGGCGGTTGGGGGCAAAGAGAGGGCTACTGCTGTAGGCAGGCGGTAGAGGGCGAGTGGTACGATGTACGCCCATGCACATCGCAACGGTCGGCGGGGCGGGGCGGAAAGACACTTAAAAATAAGCATAAACAACGCAGCCTTTTTGCGCATTGCATGAGTACGCTGCCGTTGTTCTTCGCTCGGGGTCAAGACGCACAACACCCATCTGTGGCGAACAAAGGTAAACTTGCGCTGTCAGGAGCAACGCAGACAGACGTGAGAACACTCTGGACGGTCCATTTCCACGAAACTTGTTCGCACCAGAATCGACACATAGATATTCGGTAGCTGTTGTTGTTATTGCGTTTGTTGATGTCTTCGTTTAAACAAAACGTCCATGACCCTCTATCTAGCACCCTGCGCTTCGGAAAACTAAACGAGCTTCCGGGGCCACGAGGAACGGCACCCCCCCCCCCCCCCTAAAAAGGACCGGCTTTAAAAAAACTAAAGAGTCCATTAGAGCAAGGGCAACCAGACGCACAGGAGTAGATCCAAGGCCCAGGGACAACGTCCAGAGAACAAACTCAACAGGAAGGGGAAAGGCAGGGAGAAGCCCCCCCCCCAAGCAAGGAAGCCTGGTCCGGGGAGAAACCCGGCGTGCTCCGTCCCGGCTTTGTAGGGATGTCAGGCCAATGGTCTAACGACTACGGTATGCACGACTATGAGTACACCCCCCCCCCCCCCAACAAGGGAAGGGACCTTGCCCTTTATGACCACCCCTAACTAATGGGGGTGGTACGTCGAGGTCCATGAGGGAAGAGTCCAGGTGTTTCGGCACCGCCACCTCAAGCACGATGTCCCCGCTGCTGCCGCTTCCCCGCCCCACCCGGCCCCCCGGGGTCGATGACGCCGCTCCGGTCTCCTCGAAGCGGAACTCGAGTTTGGCCTCGTGTGCACTGTCTGATCGTGCCCTCGGTTTCTCGCTTGCGGGCCCTCTCCACCGCGGCAGCCTAAACACAAAAGTGATTGTAGAAATGCAAGACGTCTCACAAACGCACGATCAGGAAATGAACAAGACGTCACAAGCGTGCAAGAGCAGGGTTGGGGGAATCGTTCCTCTTTCTATGTTTCTCATTCGTTCTGTATTATTTCGAGAAGAACCGTCTGTTTGCATGCACAACTTGAGCAGTCAAAATGGAACAGAAACGAATCGAAGTAGAGGCAGCGAATCAAAACTCACGCACCCGCTAGTACGGAGTTGACGGAACCAGCGGGCCTTCGTACGGCAGCAGACAGACAGTTCTAGCCACCACCGCTACCACTCCCCCCTTTTCCTCCCTGTCGCTGGTAAAGGTGGGGACGGTACTCCGTCTCGCAAGGCGGTACGCCGTCAGCGGAGTCCCCTGCGGCAAGAAAAAAACAAAGGAGTAACCCCGCCCGCCGCCCCCGGCCCGCCCGGCCCGCCTTAGTACAAACCTGTCGTGCTCCGTCCCAGCTCACGACGGATTGGGAAGGTCTAGACTACACGGAAAACGCCAGGTACAACATCTGCGTACCCCCCCCCCCCCCCCCGGGGGGCCCAGAATCTTTCCCCCCTCTCTCTCACCTGGTCTAGGTCAAAGGTGCGGGCCTTGGGCGAGTTTTTCTTTTGGCGTTCTTCTTTTTCCCTC